AGCCCGGCCGGGCATCGCCCCAAGCCAGGCTCGCTTCCGCTGGATTCTGAACTGTGCCGTCCACGGCGCCTGAGAAACGGGCCCGCCTATCTCTGTGCCCCCTCCTTTTCCCTAGCCCGTGCCTGGCATGGCTGAAAAGGGGGCCATTCGGCCCTTTGGTGCTTCCCAGCTTCCCTCTCCCGGCTGCCTAAGTTCAGAATAACTCCGCGCTGGGCACGGGGGTTGCGGGGAGTGCACGACGATACCGGCGAGGATACAGGAGTATTGCGAGAGGAACTGGCCCCAGCACACCAACCCCCTTCCCTAACTATCACTACGGGGTGGGCCTGGGGCCGATCTTGGGCTCAGGCCCACCAGCGTTTTTCCAAACCTAGAACCCCCTCCCACAAGCCCGTCACCAGGCCAAGGCCTCTAGGCTGCCGGTTCTCTTTCCTAGCAGGCTCTGCCCTCTTTGGCAGCACTGACCTCACTGGGGCTGGGTCCACTCCAGGACGGCTCATCTTGGCCACATCACACATGGTGGATCCTCCGTCCCTGCCTCTCGGGCCTGGCGCCCCATGCCGTCACCCGCTGCCCCCAGAATGACTTAGCCAAAGCCCAGGACTTCCGTTTGCCCTGCTACTCTGGTTCTGCCGCTTCCTCCAGCTGCAGACTGGACTGCCACCTGCCTACAGCTGACCAGCATCTAAAAGTCACCCCCAGAAATCCCCAGAGTCTGGCCATTCTCAAGGGCACCCTGGCCTCCCACCTCTCGCTCCCAGAGCACCACCCTGGAGAATAGGTGACTCCCTCTCCCATTATTCACTACATCCTGCCCATTCTTTCCCCACAAGGATCTCAAATCCGCCCCTTCCTCTGCCCTGTGTCCGCTGGTCTTCAGCTGGCCACCACTCCCCTAGACACACCTCCCCCTGACTCATCCCTGCCACCTCACAACCTGTTGTTAAACCGGCAGGGAACTCTAAGGTCATCAAATCCAACGTCCACTCTGCTTGAATACTTCTAGGAATGGGGTGCTCACAACCTGTACACTGGGGAGCAGCTTCAGCTGTTGGAAACTTCCCATCCTGCCTGGGCCCTTGGAGCCAAGCAGAAAAAGTCACCTCCCTTTCCTCCTGATAGCTCCTTAGAAATGGGAGGCTCTGAGGACAGACAGATCTGGTTTAAGTCCTGGCCTTGCCTTGGTGAGTCACTTACCCCCCTGCTTCATGGGATCCTATCGCTCATGTGGAGATGGGGTGGTCCCTATGGCATAGGGAGGGTGTGAGGACAAGAGGAGATCCCTTTGGGGAGGCATAGAAAGCAGGGCCTGGCACACAGTAGGTGCTGAATACATGAGTGGTGGCTGCTAGAAGCATCACCTTTGAGAATGATGCCCTGAGGGTCCCATCTCCAGGATAAATACCCTTGAGTCTTCAGTTCCCTCTGAAGTGATGGTCCAATGTCCCCTGGGCCAGCGAAAGCCCTCTACCATGTCCCCTTGTGACCTGGAGTGCCCTGCAGACTTTGACCAGATCACCCAGCTCAAGGGGGCCCGGCGAGGAGTTGGGGAGTCCGGACACCATCTGTCCTGTGGTTACTCTGCAGGAGGGCTGGATACTCACTATATCATCACCAGGCCCCCCTTGAGAGAGGGAACAAACACTCCCTTCATCTCCACCCCTCCCAAGACTCCAAGCTCCACCTGCCCCGGGGACAGGACAGATGTGCCATAAACATTTGCCATGCTGGGTGGGGTTGGCTGGGGTCTGGGCTGGAATCTGGGGAGGTCTCAGATCTCAGGGAGGGGAAGGAGGGCACGCCCAAAGCCTAGGGGTTTCTCTTCCCTTCCATGGTGGATGAACAGCTAGCATTCTCTTGAACCTACATCATGCCACACTCCACACCAAGCACTTCACATCTGAGCCCTGTTTAATCCTACCTACAACTCAAGAAGCCTCAGTCTGCAGATGAAGAAACGGAGATCAGAGAGGTATAGTGACTTGCCCAGGGTCACACAGCTGGAAAGGAGTAGGCTTTGACCTTGGAGCCACTCTACACATCCTCATCCAGAGCAGGGGCAGGGGTACAACTTCTCTCCTGTGATCTCCGAGGCCCTGACTTCGGGGGGCTCCTGCCCCTCTGCTCACTCAGCTTCCCTCCATCTCCACACCTCCTCGTTCCTCAGGACGCCAGCAGCCTCCTCCAGGAGCCTGTGCCCCGGAACCTCCAGGGCAGGAGGTAGGCGCGGGGCAGCTGCTTCATCTCAGAAGCCCCAGCACCCACGACAGGCTGAAATTTAAAAAGCCTGGAGACAGGCTTGTCAAACCCAAGTGCTGACTTCTCCCCTCCTAGGATGTCCGCTCCAGGAGGTCCTGGGCCTAGAAGTGGGCCCTGCACAGCAGACGCTACAAGCTCATTTGGTGAACGAATGAATGACATCATCTCCTTTAAAAAGCTAGTCCTGGGGCACCTGGGTGGCTCAGTTGGTTGGGCATCTGACTTCAGCTCAGGTCATGATCTCACAGCTCGTGAGTTCGAGCCCCACGTCGGGCTCTGTGCCAATAACTCAGAGCCTGGAGCCTGCTTCGGATTCTGTGTCTCCCTCTCTCTCTGCCCCTCCCCTGCTCATGCTCTGTCTCTGTCTCAGAAATAAATAAAAACATCAAAAAAATTTTAAAAATAAAATAAATAAATAAATAAAAAGCTAGTCCTATCCTGCTAGCCTTCTGAGCGTGGCTGGGGAAGAACAAGAATGAGGCCCTTGATCCCCCTCCGGAAACAGCTCTGCCGGCCATGCTGTGCAAGGTGGGCAAAAGCTCTTTCCTCTCTGAGCCTCATTTCCCTCACGTCATGCGAGAATAACACTTTCCTCCTGAGCTCTCGAGGGTTCAGTGACACAAGCATCAGGGCCCGACACCCCACCTAGGGCACAAGTGCGTTTGGTCGGTGGTGGTGATTGTCACCATCAAGGACATTCTTTGTTCCTCTTCCTCAGCAAAGCAGGATGTCATTTGCCTCTTCTCTCGCTCTCTGCTTCAGCCTGCTCGACCCCTTGGCAAGACTGGCCCCCCTGCCTCTCTGATCACTCAGGCATCCCTGGCCCCAAAGTGAGTCTGTGCCATTTGTCCTAAAGTGGGTCCTACGAGTGCCAGGGCCTCGTGTCTCCCACGGCAGTCTGGGTGACCCTCTGGCCCATGGCAGTCATGCTGAGTTCCAGGCAGGCCGGGGCAGGGCTGGGCTGGAGCTAGGACCGGGAGGCTGCAGAGGGCCCCCACTTGCTGAGACCAGCTCTCAACTCACAGGCCTCACCTCTACGTGGTCCGAGCCCTCCTACCCTTGCCCCTGCCTGCAGCAGCTCGGGGACTTGCCCCAGGAGCAACTACCCAAGGAGGGGCCCCAGGGCTCTGCAGGCCCCTGGCAGGATGTATGTTGGGGGTAGCTGAGGCCAGTTTGTTGCCAGGAGCCCCCATCTGGGAAAGAGGCAACCAGCCAACACCAGAGCCCCAATGCCAGGCACCATCCGTGCCAGCAGATTGTGTCTGACATCACAGCCACCCCCCTGCCCGGTGACCACGGCAACTGAAAGCCTCCCCCTCCTGTCTCCGCCCCCAGAACAGTCCTCCGTGTTCCTTCTAACCTGGTCTTCCTGTGCAGAATGTATGAGCATGTGTCTGGGCGGAGGGGGGTGGGAGAGGGA